CTACCTGTTTTGGGGAGGAGGAGTTACCTTCAGTGATAGGAGGAACAAAGCAAAGCAGGATCTTCCTGTAGAATACTGTGTCACTTCGGCTTCTGCAAGAGAGCTGAGGTGGCAGTTTGGTCTATCCCAACTATCAGTGAAAGGGCTGCTTGAAAAATGTTTTGACAGTTTTCAAATGCGATGTCCATTTCAAATACTTGTCCAAACTTAGCCAAACACATTTGTCAGGCTGTGGAAATGGAAGCAGGCGATTCTTGAGCAAAAACTTTGGCAGCTTTTTACTGTAGCTCCTATTCATGCTCGTTTCAATATCTGTGCCAAATTTTGAATGCTAAAGAAAACTTCTAATGCACTCAGCTTTCAGCGTACCTTGGGCTGAATTACACTCCCAATTGCGCATGTCGGTGTTTTTCTTGCTAATTATTTTAGGCCACTATCTAACTGTACTATTTTCTGTGTGCTTTTCACTTGACAAGATTATGAAAGAAACCCTAACTTTTTCATGAATTGAAAAGTTTATTTTCTTTTTGCTCTTTTCTGTTACACAGATATGAAAGACACATTTGAAAGATGGTTAAGTGATGATTAGGAATATGAAAAGGACTTGAATAGAGCAAACAGGTTTTTTCAAACCCCTGCATCTGGAGTACTTTCAGAACCACAAGAATAAAACACTGATGTTCTTCCATCTGCTTGTGAAAAGCCACTGAAATTTTAGCTAGCGTTTAGTAATTGTATTCTGCTCCCAAGAAAGTGTATTGCTGATTCACTTGTGTATTTGGCTTATATTTAAATTAATGTCTAATATTACCAGATGTTTCAATATTTTAATTAAAATACTTCCATTTATAATGGCAGAAGATAAATGCTGTAGGATACTGCAGCCCTGAGGAGAAGGACTTGGGGGTACTGGTGGATGAAAAGCTGAACATGAGCCGGCAGTGTGCGCTGGCAGCCCAGAAAGCCAACCGTATCCTGGGCTGTATCCAGACAAGTGTGGCCAGCAGGTCGAGGGAGGGGATTCTGCCCTTCTACTCTGCTCTGGTGAGACCCCACCTGGAGTGCTGCGTCCAGCTGTGGAGCCCTCAACATCAGAAGGATATAGACCAGTTGGAGCGAGTCCAGAGGAGGGCCACGAAGATGATCAGAGGGCTGGAGCACCTCTGCTATGGGGACAGGCTGAGAGAGTGGGGCTTGTTCAGCCTGGAGAAGAGAAGGCTCTGGGGAGAACTTATTGCAGCCTTCCAGTATGTGAAGGGGCTACAAGGAAGCTGGGGGGGACTTTTTACAAGGGTCTGTAGTGACAGGACAAGGGGTAACAGGTTTAAATTGAAAGCGGGGTGATTTCTGCCAGGGCTCAGTGTTGGGGCCGGTC